GCAAAGACAAAATAAGGAAATCTAAAACTTATGTTTCTCCTTCTAACTTATGTTTAAATACTAGTATTTAAAGCATTGCAATGGTGGAAGCTTTTAATTATAATAATAATAATTTTCATTGTATATTTTTGGGTTTTTAATTATACTATTTTATTGTATATCCATTATTTTAATTGATCTACGTAAATATTTCATTTTTTTATTTTACATATTTTGATTTATTATTACAGGTTTTAATAATTAATATTTATACTTCTATTCCACATATACATATTTTATTTTATAATATTTCTTGTTCATTAATTTAAATTTCAGGCATCTTCCTTCCTCTTTGTTGAAACTATCAAATTAATAAACAAGTTATTAAAAAAGAACTCTAACTGATATGAAGATAATATAGTGATGAAGGACAAGAATAGCGAATACTACGAAAACAAGGGAAACTGTAGACTTAATTGAAGTTTAAGGAACATTAGTTCCATCCAGACAGAATCCAAGAAAATCAACAAATGAAACTTATTAATAATTGAAGACCAGATGCCGATGGGAAGGAAGAGAAATTATTTAATAAAAGGAATATAAAATTGGAAAAAAGGATTAAGCATAAAAAACTACACTCCCAGGCCCTAACACTGTCTTAAATATTGTTGCGACAGAGGAGGTCACGTGACTAGTATCACGCCACGTTCTTCTCGAACGTTCATGTCCCTTCCTTAATTGTCGAGAACTTACTAGATAAGTCGTAGTCTCGTATATATAAACCGGTTAGAACTGAACGTGAGGTAATGTGTAATTGAACTGCGGAGAGAGAATATTGTTGAGCACGTGAGACGTTCGTTGTGAATTATAGCGTTTGTTATAACGCGACTGTTGAAATTAAGTGTATCGCAAAGTTGTATTCAGAAAGAATAAACCAGTTTTATTTAAGAAAGGTCTTGCATCGGTAAAGTTTCTCCGGAAAGAATTTTTACGGAAAATTAACTAACGAACGGAGACGTAACAAATTGGTGTCAGAGAGTGGGACAGAAAATAAAATAAAAGAAGAAGAAGATGGAAATGAGAGGTGGCAAATCAAACTACAGCTTAGCAGATTTGATGGCAGCAATACAAGAACAGCAAAAGAAACAAGAAGAACGAGAAAAGAAACAAGAAGAGAGATTACAGCATTTGCAAGCAAACCTGCAACAGTGGCAGCTGGAACAGCAAAATAAACAAGAAGAGAGATTACAGCAGTTGTTGGAGGAAAAAGAAAAGAAACAAGAAGAGAAATTACAGAAGTCGTTGTAAGAAAAAGAAAAGAAACAAGAAGTACGAGAAAAGAAACAAGAAGAGAGATTACAGCAAATGGCAACTAGAACAAGAAAGGAAACAGGAAGAAAGTCTCCAACAGTTGCAGGAAAGTCAGCAGCAACTACAGGAAAGTCAATAACAGTGGCAAGAAGTACAAATGGAAAACATTAGTAAATTTAAAAGCGAATTGATGATACTTTTGATGCCCTAAGTGGAGCCAGGTGGTTTTCAACTCTGGACTTAAAG